GTGAAGGTGAGCTACTTAAATAGGCACAGATCATGCATCATTGGCGCCAAGCTACAAGACTCACATTTGGCGCTTAAATTTGAATTCAAATTTTCAGCTCCCATGTGCTTAGCCGTGAATCAAGGCTCCATCATGCATTTATATTTCATTTAGCAAGCATTGACGGTTGATTTGGGTGTGCACATGTTCAGCCACCCATGGCTTAAAACATGTGACCCAAATTTAACTTAAATGACTTTCAAATGAAACCTAGTTTTAACATTATTTGCCTATTTAAATAATCCTTCAATATTCCTATTCTAATGACCTAAATACAATGGCCAATCAAATGCAATCAATAGGAAATAATAAAAGAAGCAAAATAAACCCAATATTGGGTATTAAAAGCCCAAAGACCCATAAAAGCCAAAAATAGGCCCATGAAGCCTAAGGCCCAAAATCCTATTCTAATTGGTCCAAAATACAAGACCAAGAAAAGTAAAACCTATACTACTTATTAAAAATAGTAACATGGTGGTCATTGTAAAGCCCATGTGAAGAGTACCCTAGGTCCACGAAGCTTTGAAGCAGTCAAATCTTCAAGTAACCTCTTGGCCATGGCTCTAGTGGTTGGGTCCTTGGTCCATGCTCTTCCATCATTATTCCACATTGGTAACCAGAGTGAGAAATGTTCTTACTCCCTTGTTTTTCTTGTGATTGTAGGATACCTCTTTTTTGGAGGAGTTTAGTTCATAGAAGGGGAAACTTTGATACCTATGACATCGGGGTTAGTAGGGATATCTTTATGTTTTCTACACAAGGAATTTAGTTTATTTCCTTTAAGCACGTTTATGCAATTCTTGTAATAGTTTGGTTTAGTCTTTTCAATTTTGTATTTAGAATGTGAAACCTTTTACCTCTATTTTTAATTATTTAATACAATATTCTTTTCAAAAAAAATTATTTTTATAGTATTATGCATGAGGTGTAGAGGGTGTCATGGTAGAAGTTGTTCAATTTATATTATTTATAGATCTATAAATTATATATTTATTTATATTTGTAATTATTAGTAATCATATTAAAATGGAAATCTAATCTAATAAAATAGTAATTTTGATTGTGAATAACATAAAATATATAGTACTATGATGAATTTTATTTTATTTTAATATAGTTGAAAATTTTTTTAAAAAAATACTTTTCATTTACATATAATATATATTTATTTTTATCCAATTTTTCCTTTTATTTTACAGAAATAATTTTTATAATGTATAACTTGGATTTTGTGAAAAATAGTAATTGTTAAAATACTTTTATTCAACTTTTATTATTATATAATGATTATATTTTATAAAAGTCTAATAATGATTAATAATTATTAAAATATTTTTATCCATTCATTAAAATATTTTTCCATTTATTTTGGTATATTTATTTGTTTTTAATTATTTTTAGTTACAATTTATTTTATAATAATATTTATCTATTAAAAATATTTAGGAAAAAAATATTAGTAGAAAGTCTTAAAAAGAATGAAATTATTGAAGAGAATTTTGAAGGAAAAAAGTTGTTTTCTTTATTTATATATTTATATAATAGATACATTTGAAACTAAATATTCAATGCATTAATAAATAATGAAAATGATTGTAAAGTAGACAAATAAAAGGAATTCTGCCTTGTATTTTATTGAATGAAAATATCATAAATATATACAAGAGAGGGTATCCATAATTACGTTATCTTATCCCTATAATTATGCTATTCTGTTTCTATAATAATGCAAAACTATCCCTGTAAATCAGCTATTCTAATATGGACAATTCTAGTAATATTTTCTCTCAATAATCTCGGGATATGATTTATTTTCTAACACTCCCCTTCAAGTTGGAGAGTGAATATCAAGAACTCCCAACTTGCGTTTCATGGTAGAGAAAGCTTCTTTTCCCAGTGGTTTGGTGAACACATCCGCAAGTTGTTCAACTGAAGGTACATATTTAGTTGTGACTGAACCATCTTGAATCTTATCACGAATGAAGTGGCAATCCATCTCTATGTGTCTAGTTCTTTCATGAAATACCGGGTTGGCTGCAATGTGTAAGGCTGCTTTATTGTCACAATACAACAATGCCGGTTTAGGATGCAATATCCGTAAATCCTTCAACAGTGATCGTAACCAAGTCAACTCACAACAAGTACCAGCCAATGCTCTATATTCAGCTTTTGTTGAGGATAAAAAAACCGTCTTCTTCCTCTTTGTTCGCTAAGAGATGAGAGAAGATCCCAAACAAACACAATAACCCATAGTTGATTTTCGGGATACTGGGCAACCTCCCCAATCTGAATCACAAAAAGCACGCAAAGACAAATCATTTTGTGAAGGGAAAAATAGACCTTGACCTGAGTTATTCTTTAAGTATCGTAGCACACGCATTGCAGCTTTCATATGAGACTTACATGGAGCATGGATGAATTTGCTCAGTACGTGTACTGCATAGGTAATATCTGGACGGGTAATTGTCAAATAAATTAAGCGACCAACAAATCGCCTATATATTGACGGGTCCTTTAATAATTCCCCTTCATCGCAAAGCTTTATATTTTGTTCCATGGGCTTAGCTCCAAGATACCCACTGTAACACCCCGAACTTGCTACTTGATTATTAATTATTTTTATATAGTTATTTTTGTTAATTAAAGGGGTTTTATAGAGGTTTTTATTAATTTAAAATTATTTATGAAAATTTTTATAAAAATTCTATTTTTTTTACCCTGGAACGGGCTGTTCCAAAAGTGGAACGGGCCGTTCCAAACGAAGAAAATAAGTTATTTTTGTAGCAGCAGAACGGGCCGTTCCAAAAGTGGAATGAGCCGTTCCAAAGAAGAAAAAATGCCTATGTGGGTTTTTCCAGAACGGGCCGTTCCGAAATTCTAAAATTGCCTAAAGACCTTAGTTGGGAACGGACCGTTCCAACTATGGTCAATCAGTGTTAACGTGAACTTCAGAACGGGCCGTTCTGCTTTTTGAAACGGGTCGTTCTGCTTTTTGAAACGGGCCGTTCCGATTTTGGAACGGGCCATTCCAGTTGAAAAATTTGCCCATATTTAAAGGTTCCGGAACGGGCTATTCCGAAATCAGTACGGGCCGTTCCGGGTGCGCCAGAATACCTATAAATAGGGGCATTAGGGGTGAAAAAAAATAACTGAGTGAAAAGTGAAAATTTTAGAGAGAGAAAGAGAGAGAGAGAGAGAGAGAGAGAGAGAGAGAAAGAGAAAGAAAGAGAGAGAAAGGAAGAGGGAATCCAGAGGAGGAGGTCCTGCCCAAGTTCCAGCTCCGCTTATCCAGGTAAGGGGGGAGTGAGAAACCTCGCTCGGGGGTGTGCGGATAATTGTTGGATAGTCTGTTTGTCAGATTGGCCCCAATCCCTTGCCTGTGGTTCTGTTTGGTCTACTATATTCCTTGTTACTTTGTTCTTGTTACTTTGTTCTTGTTACTTTTACTTTGTTCTTGTTACTTTGTTCTTGTTACTTTGTTCCTTGTTACTTTGTTCCTTGAAAGTAATAAATGAATATGGAATTAATGCTAAAAATAAATAAGTTTTAATATGAAAAAGAATGTTCTCTTTCAATTCCTGTGCGGACCGTATGAGGAGTATTTATGACATGACCATGTGAAATATGGACAAATGACATGAGACCTAAGAATGGACTATTGAGACAAGTTATAATTATAAGAATATGGAAAATAATGACATGATATACTTGATGAAATTCTGTAATAAGTTAAATGTTGAGTCCATGAAATAATGAATGTATGACATGCATCATATGCATATATTACTCCAGGTGTGCCGCTGAGGTCGCATACCAACGATGCTAACTAGGTGTACCTTCGGGTCACCCACGACATAACATGCTAGGTGTATCTTCAGGTCACCCACGACGTAACATGCTAGGTGTACCTTATGGTCACCCACGACGTAACATGCTAACAAGGTGTACCTTAGGGTCACCAGTGATGTAACCTGGTGTACCTTAGGGTCACCAATGATGAATTGTGAATCTTTCGTATGGCGCCACATGCATGCATTTATGAGTCGAGTCCATGACATCATAAGCATGATAAATGAGTATATATGTGATATTGATTATTTATGTGTATTGTTTACATGTAATTTATATATGTTGTGTGTGTGTGCTATCTAACCTTTATTTCTGCACCTGAAACTGAGTGAGATGTTTCTCACTCCCTTGTTGTTTTTTTTGTATATGTTTAAATTATGTTGCAGGTGAACAACATCATGAGGATGTTGGTGATGAGGCTTAAGGCTTCAGTTGGGCATGCTCTGATAGGATGTGACATCGGGGCTTAGCTAGCTTAGTCTAATATGTTATTATTTTAATAACTTCAATTTGTTTTCTTTTGTAATTTCTAGCAAAGAAATAACGTAAATAAAGTTGTAATCTTCTTTTGTAATTTTGAACGTCCTTGATAAATTCTTAACATCCTTGATAAAAGATCAAAATATGCATCTTTGTCATATTATTTTATTATATGATTTGAAAGTTATAGATTAGTTCCTAACTAGGAGGCACTGCCACCTTTGCTGGAATTAATCTATATTTTCCTTTTATATGATCTCTTGAATTTTGATACTTACAAGATGATTTTCTATGATTTATGAGTTACGAATGTGAATCTTCTACCTTACAATATTTGAGATATTTTTTTTATCATGAAAGATGGTATCAAACTATGAAAGGTTTTATTTACTCCAAAGAGAAAAAAAAAATTGTTTAAATTTATTGTGTATTAATGTTGGGGTAGAGGGTGTCACATTTAGTGGTATCAGAGCAGGTCGATCTAATCGACCGTGAGTTATGAGTTTACTATGCTTATTTGGTTTACTATGCTTATTTGGTATATGGATGATGGACTGAATTGATTATGAAACTTGTTGGTATGCTAGTATGATGATTGATTATGTTTATTAATTGTATTATTTTCTTAGACTATGGCTGGTAGAAATGATCATGCGATTGTTGATGCTCTTCAAGCATTAGCACAAGCTATGAATAATAACAATAGGGCTGAGGTAGCTCCTAACTGGTTGGAATAATTTCAACGAAATCACCCACCTACCTTTAAAGGAGGATATGACCCAGATGCTGCTATGAATTAGCTAACGGAGATTGAGAAGATCTTCAATGTTATGGATTGTCCCGTCACTCAGAAGGTGAAGTTGGCCACCTTCATGTTGACTGCTTATGCTCACTTTTGGTGGGAAGGAGCACTTCGGAGAATGATTGATGGAGGGGTGCACTTGAATTGGGACAACTTTAAGAAGGCTTTTCTTGAAAAATATTTTTCGGATGATGTGAGTAGTCGAAAGGAAATGGAATTCCTTGAATTGAATCAAGGGAATAACACAGTAGCAGAGTATGCTGCCAAATTTGATGCTTTGGTCCGTTATTGTACACACTACCATGGTGAGGGTGGTGAAAGGGCTAAATGCATAAAATTTGTAAATGGTCTGCGTCCTGAAGTGAAAACTACAATTAATTATCAGGAGATTCATAACTCATCATAAAGAGAAATAATTCAAAAATTGTAACCGTCATTGCAGTAAAGCAATACTTATTAGCCAATTAAAACAGAGTTACAAATCATAAAATATCAACAGACCCTCCCTTAAACTAATGTTTGCTAACATTCAGTTTAAAGTCTTCACAGAATTCAACTTGTAGACTCCAAGAAACCTTCTATGCTTCATGAATGACTCTCTCTTGAGTGTCTTGGTGAAAATATCAATAACTTGATCTTCACTCCGACAATAAATCAATTTAATGGCTCCATCATTGCTCAAATCTCTTAGAAAATAAATATTGACATCAATGTGTTTGCTTCTTCCATATAGTACTGGATTCTTTGAAAGTTTGATTGCTGAATTATTGTCACAAAATATCCTAGTAGCGCCATGTTGCTGGAATTTCAACTCTTCAAGGATTCTCCTTAGCCATATGGCTTGACAAGCACAAGTAGTTGCTGCAACAAATTCTGCTTCTGTGCTTGATAAAGTAACAATAGGTTGTTTTTTAGAGAACCAAGAGACAACGCATGTACCAAGCATGAAAACACACCCCGAAGTACTCTTTCTATCATCTTGATCTCCTGCATAATCACTATCTGTGAACCCCAATAGATTGGACTTTTCACCTTTCTTGTAAAATAGTCCAAATTCTCTTGTTCCTTGCAAGTAACGAAGGATTCTTTTAGCAGCAAGTAAATGCATTTCTATAGGATTCTCCATGTACCTGCTAATCAAACTTATAGAATACATTATATCTGGTATAGTTGTAGTTAGATACATTAAGCTGCCCATAATCTGTTTGTAAAGTGTACTGTTTATTTTTTTCCGTCATGATCTTTGCATAACTTAAAACCACACTCAACTAGAGTGTTTGCAGAATTACAATCATGCATATGAAATATTTTTAGAATTTTTCCCACATATTTCTTTTGAGAAAGAAAAATTCCACTTTCTGATTGCACTATTTCTATGCCAAGAAAGTAGTGCATCATGCCAAGATCAGTCATTTCAAATTCATTCATCATAGACTTCTTGAATTCATCAAACATGACAGTACAATTTCTAGTAAACATAAGATCATCAACGTACAAGCATGCTATAAGCAATTTTCCTTTTTCTCCAGATTTAACAAACAATGAATGCTCATAAGGACACTTTGTAAAACCAGCTTTTATGAAATAAGACTCAATGCGACTATACCAAGCTCGAGGGGCTTGTTTTAGCTCATAAAGAGCCTTTTTTAGTTTGTAAACTTTGTTCTCATTTCCTATTTTCACATAGCCAGGGGGTTGATCAATAAATACCTATTCCTCCAAGTAACCATGTAAAAATGATGATTTTACATCTAGTTGAAAAATAGGCCAAGCATTTTGTGCTGCTAATGCAACTACCAACCTGATTGTGTCATTCCTTGGAACTGGTGAAAAAACTTATGTGTAATCAACCCCATATTGTTGCTTGTAGCCTTTAGCCACCAAACGTGCCTTATACTTATCCACTTCACCATTTTCTTTCAGGTTTGTTTTGAAAACCCATTTCACTCCTATGGTATTGTGCCCATCTAGAAGATCAACCAGCTCCCAAGTATCATTTATTTCAATGGAATCAATTTCATCATCCATCGTTATTCTCTATTTTTCTTCTTTAACAGCACTTTCAAAGGTTGTAGGGTCACTTTCTGAAAACAAAGCAAAATGAGTAATGGGGTCTTCAATTCCTATTACCTCAAAATCAGACATCCATGTAGGCCTTCTCCTTGCACATTGAGGTCTCTCTACTTCAGACGCGGTTGTTGAAATTTGTTGTTCATCTAGCTCCATTGGTTGTGACTCTTCATCTTCATTATCTCCATCAAAGTTTGCAAGTATTTGCTTTGTTTCATTTATGTTATTTTCCCAAAATCTTTCTTCATTGAAAACAACATCACGACTAATAATATGATCTTTTTAGTGATATGATTATACAGTTTATATGCTTTTGATTGATCACTAACACCAAGAAAGATACATTTTTCACCTTTGTCATCAAGCTTTGATCTTTTCTTGTCAGGAATATGAGCATAAGCAATGCATCCAAAAATCCTAAAATGGTCCACAGTTGGTTTTCTCCCGCTCCATGCCTCCTCTGGTGTCATATTCTTCACAAAAAATGTGAGACTTCTATTTAGAATGTGCACGCTCCAGTTAATAACTTCAGGCCAAAAATATTTTGAAACACCACACTCAGTCAAGAGGTTCCGTACCATGTTGAGAATGGTTCTATTTTTCCTCTCTAAGACACCATTTTGTTGTGGTGTATATGTTGTTGTTAACTCCTTCCGGATTTCGTGTTTTTCATAAAAAAAATAGAAAATTCATCTTTTCCATGAAAGTAAGGGAGATCAACCCTTGATTCCCTCACTTTGGGTTCCTTAATGACTCTCCTAGGGTAGGGTTGGTAATAAGCATCCATATGCAAACTACCATCTTGGTTTTGGCTTTGAGAGTCATTGGAACTCTTGGTTGAACTTTTTGATGAATTTTTTTGACTTTTGCTTTTATGAATTTTTTTCAAAAGTTTCTCTTCTCTTTGCTTAATCTTGTTTATCTCTTCCTCTAAAGCAATAAGTTGTACTTCTCTTTCAATCTTTTCTTTTTCTTTTTGAAGTACCTCTTGTTGCTTCCAAAGTTTTAGTGCTTCAACCTCCTTAACAATTCTTTTAAAACTTTTAGGAGATTCAAAGTCACTACTACTTTGAGAAATATGATTGATGATTAAGCAATGAGAATTTATATGCTATGCAAAAAGATATAAAATGTTTAGCTTTGAAAGAGAAGATCGTTGCAACTTCTTGAGTCTGATTTGTGACACCCTCTACCCCAGCATAAATATATAATAATTAAAAGAAATATCTTATTGGGTTAAAAAAATCTTTAAAATTAAAACAACAATTCTAATAACATGAGAGTAGAGAATTCACATTCATCAACTTAAAAAATGATCATATGCGGAAAAATGAAACATGAGTTCTTCCAAAATAAAATACAATAATGAAATCCTAATTATGCCTAGCTATGTCCGATGTCACATATCCTATCAGAGCATGCCCAACTGAAGCCTAAGCCGGGCCGTTCCAAACGAAGAAAATAAGTTATTTTTGTAGCAACAGAACGGGCCGTTCCAAAGAAGAAAAAATGCCTATGTGGCTTTTTCCAGAACGAGCCGTTCCCAAAGGGAAATGGGCCGTTCCCAAAGGGAAACGGGCCGTTCCGAAATTCTAAAATTGCCTAAAGACCTTAGCCGGGAACGGGCCGTTCCAACTATGGTCAATCAGTGTTAACGTGAACTTCAGAACGGGCCGTTCTGCTTTTTGAAACGGGCCGTTCCAGTTGAAAAATTTGCCCTTATTTGAAGGTTCCGAAACGGGGCATTCCGAAATCAGTACGGGCCGTTCCGGGTGCGTCAGAATGCCTATAAAAAGGGGCATCAGGGGTGAAAAAAAATATATAACTGAGTGAAAAGTGAAAATTTTAGAGAGAGAAAGAGAGAGAGAGAGAGAGAGAGAAAGAAAGAGAAAGAAAGAGAGAGAAAGGAAGAGGGAATCCAGAGGAGGAGATCCTGCCCAAGTTCCAGCTCCGCTTATCCAGGTAAGGGGGGGAGTGAGAAACCTCGCTCGGGGGTGTGGGGATAATTGTTGGATAGTCTGTTTGTCGGATTGGCCCCAATCCCTTGCCTGTGGTTCTGTTTGGTCTACTATATTCCTTGTTACTTTGTTCTTGTTACTTTTACTTTGTTCTTGTTACTTTGTTCCTTGAAAGTAATAAATGAATATGGAATTAATGCTAAAAATAAATAAGTTTTAATATGAAAAAGAATGTTCTCTGTCAATTCCTGTGCGGACCGTATGAGGAGTATTTATGACATGACCATGTGAAATATGGACAAATGACATGAGACCTAAGAATAGACTATTGAGACAAGTTATGATTATAAGAATATGGAAAATAATGACATGATATACTTGATGAAATTCTGTAATAAGTTAAATGTTGAGTCCATGAAATAATGAATGTATGACATGCATCATATGCATATATTACTCCAGGTGTGCCGCTGAGGTCGCATACCAACGATGCTAACTAGGTGTACCTTCGGGTCACCCACGACATAACATGCTAGGTGTATCTTTGGGTCACCCACGACGTAACATGCTAGGTGTACCTTATGGTCACCCACGACGTAACATGCTAACAAGGTGTACCTTAGGGTCACCAGTGATGTAACCTGGTGTACCTTAGGGTCACCAATGATGAATTGTGAATCTTTCGTATGGCGTCACATGCATGCATTTATGAGTTTTTTTTGTATATGTTTAAATTATGTTGCAGGTGAACAACATCATGAGGATGTTGGTGATGAGGCTTAAGGCTTCAGTTGGGCATGCTCTGATAGGATGTGACATCGGGGCTTAGCTAGCTTAGTCTAATATGTTATTGTTTTAATAACTTCAATTTGTTTTCTTTTGTAATTTCTAGCAAAGAAATAACGTAAATAAAGTTGTAATCTTCTTTTGTAATGTTGAACGTCCTTGATAAATTCTTAACATCCTTGATAAAAGATCAAAATATGCATCTTTGTCATATTATTTTATTATATGATTTGAAAGTTATAGATTAGTTCCTAACTAGGAGGCACTGCCACCTTTGCTGGAATTAATCTATATTTTCCTTTTATATGATCTCTTGAATTTTGATACTTACAAGATGATTTTCTATGATTTATGAGTTACGAATGTGAATCTTCTACCTTACAATATTTGAGATATTTGTTTTATCATGAAAGATGGTATCAAACTATGAAAGGTTTTATTTACTCCAAAGAGAAAAAAAAGAAATTTGTTTAAATTTATTGTGTATTAATGTTGGGGTAGAGGGTGTCACACCCACCATCTTTGACAATTTGCAAAGTTTATTTCCTTTGTGATATGAAAATACCTTTCTTAGAACAAGAGATCTCAATAC